CCATAGCGCAACACAACAACCCCTCTTTCAAGTATCGCAGGGAACCAGGTCACCCTCCCACGACACATTACATTCCAAATAGAAAAATAAACTACCCGCAAAGACCTGCCTGCCTGCCTGCCACCGCCTCACGAGTGCTTGCGCCTCCACGGAGCATGCAGTGTTGAGTCTGCACATGGGCCATCGAGGCAATTGCATGTCCGCTAATTAGCTCCCTAAACCACGCCCATTAACCAACAATACCTATTTGCACTGTTTCACTTTAGAACACGAAACGTAGCGAACCACCGTGTCAAATCAGGCAAATAAAGCGACGCCCCGTGGGCTGGCTACGCCCCAGCGTTTATGCAGCTGTGATGAGCTAATTACGCCATTTACGCCTTGAGTAGCGCGTGGGAGGCTATTTGTTTCGAAACGGGCTATAATGGGAGACGATACACTGCTTGGTAATGGGTTGTACTGTAGGATGCCGCCTTGTAGGGCGAAAGTGTTTGTATGCTCGATATGGATCGGACGAAGAGTGAGTCGGTGGTCGTTCACTGTCACCGTGGAGGCCGTGCTTTCAAGGGCGAGTCTTGCTGGACGCCTGAGTAGTAGACCTTGCATTGTTCATGTTGCATTGTTCATGTTGCATTGTTCATGTTGCATTGTTCATGTTGCATTGTTCATGGGACTGCGCCTGTTTGACGTATGATTCGGACCAGAGCCGGAGTTATGGAGGAGAAGTCGGGCTGAAGTTCATCCTTCTCGCACTGCATGTAAGAGTGGCAAGTGCCATCATGGGCTACTAGAACTGGCTCTCCAGGCTCAAAGGACGTCAGTACCGTACGAGATGTGGCCTAGTGTTGGGGGACGATAGTGTCAGGTAAGACGAAGCGAACGAAAGACGGTAGGAACTTTGAGACCTCGAACAAAGTAAGCAGACGTTCGAAAAGAGAAGTGGGGATAGATCTATTAGTCTTATGCTAATGCTAATGCTAATGCAAACTCCTATCAAATTGCGTACGAAACGGGGTATAACTTCTAGAGGCAAACAAAACATAAACTCCGTACCAAAATGCCCTCGAACTAGCCATCAATCCGCATCCTCTCTCTCTCTCTATAGTTCCGTATCCACCGTTCCCCGTGCATACCATACTATGCTGCTCCACCAACAGCCAGCTTCTTCTTCTGTACTCTCATCTCTCTAATCGTGCCGTCCTTTCCTAAGCCCCTCCCCACCTCAACAACTATCATCCGAACGAAATCTTTGTTGATCCAATAACTACTATGTGCACCTAGCATGGTCAAGTACTGAATCTCCAATGGTCCACCACCATACTTCATGTAAAAGTCAATTTGGCCGTTGTCATTGAGCAGATAGGCTCTCTTCTCGGCAATTTCCTCGCGTGTGAAGTTATGGGTCTCGAGCTCGACATTGCTGGGCAGACGAATGGGCGTTGGCTTGTTGTTTGAAGAGTTGTTGTAGTTGGAAGTGGAAGAGCGGAAAGGGTTGAGAGAGGCGAAGTAGGATGTCGATGCTGACGGGATGGTTGTTTGTCTCAGCATAGAGGCGTATACGACATCGACGGTTGGATTTATGCGACAGGCGACAGGATCGTAGGGGTTGATGATGTTGTAGATGTTATCGACAGCGAGACATCCATAGGTGCCTTGCTCGCCGGCCACACCGGGAGCAGCATACGAATCTGCACCTGGCTTCTCTTTGTCGCGACGCGGAAGCAGGTTGGCGTTCTTCATGAGGAGGAAGAGGCCAACAGGGCTACCGCAGACAAAGAGATCGGTAGTATTGAAGATGAACTGATCTTGTGGTAGGTCGGCTTCGGGGAACGAAGGGTCAGTAAATTGAGGATCAACATAGGTTGGCTGTTGGCTCAAGATATCGATGGCCATGACCGAGCCGAGCGAATGAGCGATCAAGTGCACTCGCCCGTACTCTGCGAATCCTGGGTTGTTATGGCACCACAGGCGATAGATGCGATTCGCCTCTTGTATACAAGCTGATATCATCTTGGGGTTGTGCATGGGCGACAAGTAGTATGGAATATCGAGCATGACGTCACTAACTATGCCACGGACCGAGGGCAGCGTATCTGGGGTGATGTCCTTGAGCGTGTATTTGTTCGCGGAGGGATCTTCGAGCTCGGGGTTTTCAGTGTTGTCGACATCGAGGGACACGCGATGCCGCCAGTTGACCTGTTCTGTGTTAGTATCCTGGACTGAGAATCGTTGTCATGAGGACTTACTGGCAAACACATGACGCCTCCCATGTCCTTCCTCAAGTGTCGCTTCACATCCGGGGTTCCAAGCTCGACGTTCATCTCTCGTCGAAAGGCGTTCATCGCATGTGTGAAGTGAAATGTCTCCATTCTCTCCGACAACTTCTGCCCAATTCCGTGTATCACCAACACTAGATCTGACACTTTCGGTCTCTCTGACTGCGCGAGTTCGGGGTCCGACTTCTGCCTCCGATATTGCGGCGCGCCGCCTTGTGACGATGAGACGCCTTCGCGCGCTGCCTGTGCCTTTGGCGTGTTCTTGCTAGGATGCAACTTATCCCAGATGGCCTGATCAAAGCCACGTACGACGTGTACACCAATGGCTCTGCCCTTGCGAATATAGTTTGCTACTGGTCGTCGCCCGTAGTAGTCTGACGGCTGAAGAGCTGGCTTGAGGATGAAAGCCTCTTTGTCGTTGGAGTATATGACGCCCGCTTTCAAATATAGGCGCTTCCTTCCGTCGGCACCGTACTCCAGGTCTCCAGCTGCCTTGTGGTCTGGCCCCCCTGGACCTGTGGAGATGTCGATGAGGTCGCACGCATTTTCCACGGTCTCACGTCGTTCCTTCTCCGGGTCGTCGTCGTCGTCGTCAGGAAGGGTGCTCTGAACAAGACCGGCTGACTGCATTATGCCTTGCGAGGTCGAAGGTCTACTCTCGGATCTCCTAGGTCTTTCGGGCCATAGGTGGTGTAGTATCTTCATCTCTCCAAGTGCACCGACCTCGACAGCACTGTTCAACTCGTCCGTCCACGTCTGGGTCCAGGGTTTCAGCTCGATGTATCCGGCTTCGAGCATGTTGGCGACCTCAACCTCGACGGGCATCATGCTGTCCTTGTAGAACCAGGTCCCTCTAACAATCTGAGCGACATCGCTGAGCGGTGACCAGTATATAGGCTCCATGCGTATTGCGTCAGTGTCCATGACGACGTGGTGTAGTCTCGAGACACCCACAGGCACCTTTGCGGAAGGCCCTGATTTCGGCTTGGAGGATCTTCCGGCAGGCGCCTTGTCTTTGGCAGTAGACAGAGCAGGCTCCATGTCGTCATCCCACTTGTAGCTGTCGACTTCGTGGATAGTCGGGCGATGGCCTCCTTCCATGGGCGCCGGCTTCCATGACTTGGCCAGATTGCTTCTCGACGGGGCTCGGATGAAAGGTGTGCCGGTGGTGGCAGGCTCGAGAGGAGATATTGGGCCAGGGTCGTATGCCTTGAGCGAGCCAGACATGGACTGGCCGTAACTGCCAGAACCAGAGCCAGAGCCAGAGCCGGGTGTCTTCCTGTCGACCAGCTCAGCAGACCTCGAGTACTGCCCTCGGCTTGATGAGCGGCCAGAAGGTATGTCCCTTCCCTGGATCGAGCCTTCCTCGCTGGAAGCGCTAGCGCCTCTCTTCCTCTTCAGTCTCTCGACGGCCGGGTTGGTGGGCGTGCCACGGCCCGTCGCGTCTTTCTCGCCAAACTCCTCATTGTGCTTCAGAATCTTCTTGCGCAGGTCCAGCCACGACTCCTGGATGGCGTCGTTGTCGTACTGCGAGAAGGGCCGCGGCGGCACTCTCTTGGCCGTCGAGGTGCCCGTTGGCGGCGGCGGGAGCGGAGACAGCGGGTCGTCTATAGCGAGCGGCGACGTGTAGAAGTAGCGGACGGGTATCGCGGGTGGCGCCTCGGTGTTGTGCAGGACCTCGCGGATATACTGGTTCGCGCGAGACGAGAGCGTGGGCTCGTTGCCTGCCATGACGGTTGGCGTGGTTTGGTGCTGGCTGGCTGGCTGGCTGGCGTGCTGCAACTTTGGAGAGAAGCAGTCGTGGAAGAATCACATCATATCATGATGCTAGTGTGTCTTCTGTCCCCTCACGTGTATCTGTGAAGACGACAGCTGGCTTGGACAAGGTGGTAGCCTGAGGACGCTTCCTTATTGTTCTAGGGCGGTATATTTCCCATCATCGTCCAGAGCACTGACGCAACCGCCGCGCTAACACGACGCGTGCCTGAGCATGTGAACAGCCCTCCGTCACCCGCCTCACCATCTGTACACAAAACAAAATATACACTCCAGAACTAACATAATATGTAGACTACAACACACAATCTCTAGTTAAATGTTTTAATCTGATATTTGTTTCTTTCGCTTTGTTGCTCGCTGTCGCCTTAATCGTCAGCGTAGCCACAGAATCCATGGACGCGAATCTCATCAGGAATGTCTGCTGTCTCAAATTCTTCTAGCTGGTTCATCCACCATACCACAACTACACCAGTGTTCGGGTCCAGCTCGTATCGACGTGCTCTTTGATGGCTACGTCACTCTTGGCCTTGGGTGACTTGTGCTGTGTCTTCGACCTTGCTGTCCGGCCTCTATCCCCCAACTCTTCCTTAATCTGATCCCACATTGCTTTGTAGTTCGCGATTTTGCTAGAGCCATTCTGAAAGAAGCAACCGTCTCGATAAGTAATGTTCTGATGCGCCAGGTTATATAACAACCATGCGTGCCATTGGAGCGAAGTGGTGTACTTTTTTTTTCCGCGTCTAGCTGTGAGAACATGCCCGCACCGAGACGCTCACCCACTGTGATCTGCTCGTAAACGTCTGCAAAATCGGCGCCCTTGGAGCCGGCTTCAAAAAGGTCTGTCTGCAGGAAGTCTCGTTCGAACGTGTCCCACCATCGTTTCGCCATGCCCTCATCCTGTCTCTATTGATTGTACGCGGACTGGGCCGGCAGTCCTAGTCCTTCTCACACCTTTTTCTTGTTCTCATATCCCTTGTTCTTATACCTACGCTCTGTACGCCCCTTGCGCTTCTTTGCCGGTTGCTTGCCCTTGCCCGTCATGACAGTGTATCCTCGAAGCTGGCAAGTCACGAATCGATATGAGGAGTGAGAGTAAGAGTAGAGATTTTCGTCAACGCACGCGTAAGAGTGGGTGGGCAGAGATGACAGTCTGTGCTAAAGCAAACAAACGCTCGCGCACGCCTACACTCACTTCTTAGATGACTAGACATACGTTAAGTAAAAGAAATGGAATCAAAAGAGTCTGCAATAAAGATTGCGAGAAACAACAGTGCGTTAGGTACGCTTAACAGTACAAACGTAGCCGCAATATTGTTTGTATATCAGAGAATACGTAGCTACAGATAGATTGTTGTTTGTACATAAAGAAAAGAAAATGTGTAGCCATGGAATACATGGCGTCTACACGGTGGTGTATGTCGCGAAAAAAGCAAAACAGATCATACACGTTAGAATTGACATAACACATGGACTGCGATATGCACTTTCTAGTTGGATATAGTGATTTGACATTTGTTTGTAGTAATGAATATTTTGGGTATCTTTTTGCGCAACAAGTACTTTTGCCCGAGCTCGGTGAGTTACCGCCCTGTGGCACTTCTCTGCAGTCTTGACCTCAAGACAGCTACTGCGTGTATGTGGCCGTCCCAAGCTCTGCCGCACCCCTTGCTGCCAGCCATTCGTTCTCCGCCTCTTGAGAGCTTCCAAGCAGCGTCCTAACATCCACCTCCAACTCCGCCCAAAGGGCCTCCTCAATCTTGCCTTTGAACTCTCTGTCCCCGCCATGGCTACCCGATAGCACTATCCTGCCTGGTGGCTTCCCCAGCCCACTGATAGCGTCAATGACAGCTTCCTGTAGCTTCGACCAGAACTTGGCTCGCGGCGCTTCGTAGACGGGAAGATTCCACCAACCAAGATCTGAGCGGGCGACGTAACCGATCATGCGTGGTTGTGGCTGTGAAGATTTTCTATCGCAAGATGTTTGATGCATGCTCGCGCTGAAAGAGCTGTCGTCGAAAGCGATAACGAGAACGTTTTGGTGTTGTTCTTGCAGCGTTTGATGAGTACACGAGGCGTGTACCAGAGCTGCGTGAGTAGCGTATGATTCCGGGTATATGACGGAGCCTTCCTTGGAAGATTTGGACGGTGTGAAGCCCGTAAGTAATAAAGCGCTTTGGAATAGAGTTTGCTGGGCCCTGCCAAGTGGGAAGACGACAGCTGGCGTGATCTGTTTGACAGGAATTTTAAGCTGAGCTTCGATGGTCGTGTGAACTCTCGAGATAAATGCAGCTAGTACAACGCTGTCGTTCCGGTTCCTTAGGATTTCGTAATCTGAATATCGGAACATCCACCGCGACATTAGGTCTGTGTATCCAGCGTCTCCAGGAATCTGTACCACGTCGATTGTTGTTCCATTCGGATATCGCGCAGCCACTACTGCCTGTGTTGTTGTGAAGTGGACGCCGATGCTAGGAGTGGCATCTAGATCGATCTCTTTCGCGCTTGTGAGGTCCTCGGTGGCGCTTTCTTCGGTGATGGGTATCTGATGGTGGTATGGTAAAGCTCGCGCACTAGCCAAAGGCACAAGGAAATGAAGAAGATGGGAAAGTTTCATTTTGAAGTCGTGAACTGATTATTACAAAAAGAAGAGTGTATGACGAGAAAACCGCTTCAAGAAACAAGGCAAGGAGAGACAAGTGGTCGTTGGTACAGAGACACAAAAATACGTAAACAAAGCATGAAAGAGCGACGGTGGTGAGTAAGGTGTGGTAGGTGAAGAAGCAGCAACGGCAACGGCAGTACGCTCGTCGTCCCCTCCATCCATCAGCGGGGCGACGCCTGACACCTTATAGGAGTCGTCGCAAAGCATCCGATCGTACCGTCAGGGCTTGGAGGATCCGAGGTTCTGGCAAGGGACATGTGGATCCGCCCACTGTACCGCAAGTACTAGGTTCATATAAGCTAGCCTGGCGTGTGGCCGGTGCAGACTAACCATCTAGAATCTCCACGTACCTGGTTGTTGCCAGGGGACATGCGCATTTCTTTGTTCCGATACCCACATCTTGAAGGGTCAATTGGTTTTTCTGGACCGTCGGAGAGGGACGTTGGCGCCTACACATGAGACTGTTGGAAGCGCGCTGCCTAGGTAGTGCCCAGGTGTCAGTTGAGCTGAAAATAGCAGCCCGTGCCAAGACCGGCACACTCGGCACTACTGAAAAGCTTATCTACCCCTCTCTCGTACTTTTGTGCTAGCCATCGTAGACAAGAGGTGGCTCACCTGAGCCCTGGGCCGTTTGACCATTTAGCACTCTATTGATTTATCGCATCTTCTCCGCAAAAGGGTTCGGCCGAGTCAAAATACCTGGCGCCCTTAAGCACTGTCGACAAAAAGACCCTTCCATCGTACATCGCGTGCCGCTAATCGTATTCCGTATACCTGTATATGCGCACCTTGCATAGCAATTGCATTTTCTCAAGCTTACTATGTAACACAGAGTTCATGGCTTTCGTGCAGCTTTATGTGCAAGAGGCGTGCGATGCTAGTCGTCGGGCTGGTCCTGGGTGCAACGGAAATGCTTCTCGCAAGCTTTTAGGCTTATCCTATTGATCAAGAACTTTGCTTCAGTCTTTCGACGCTGTGCGTTCAACTATCCGATGGTTGAGTGCGGTGACAACTCGTGGTAAGGAGCTGACACCCAAGTCATAAAACATTGTTGCTGTCGCGTCCGCATCTGTTCTAGTGCAGCGCCGCAACAATAGGTAGGATCCGTGACCTCCTGTCTGGGGCGTCCAGCCACGGTGCTTACCCATGACATCTGACTATTCTCCCCTACGGCGCAGCCGCGTAAATACGCACAAACTTGACGAGAGAGAAGCTGAAGACTGCTGTAATCTGGATGGGGACAGGGCTCGCTCAAGGCGTTCAACAGGCTTCTGAGTGAGTTGAAGGCCTTAGTAGTCGGATGTGTTAGTCACCACACACCTTCCTGATAGACACCAAGGAGTTATCGACGTACTGTACCTCCCTCTTCACGAATATTAGGAGAGACTTCACTTCTCTCTAAGATCTTGGTACACCCAGCAACCGAGCGGCTATATGCGGATGTCAGAATGAGCGTCGATGGTCGGAGACGCGTCGATGCCTACATGCCACGGCATCAATTTTACGACGCGTCAGTTATTTCGATTTCACTGATAATCCATCATGCAACGAATTCGAGTTGAATCATCGGCGTGCCCCATCAACACTCCACTGTCCTGAAAAATGGAGAGAGAGAGGAAGACATCTGCCATGTCCTGGATATGATACCCGATGATAAGCGAGAGCCTGACCAAATGTAGGTTAGTAAGTCATACATCTAGACACCTGAGACTATGAGCTTTGAAACAACCCACCGCTCGGCAACGCAAGCTTGAAGATATTGTCACGCTCACGGAGGCCGACGTCGACATCATCCTGCATCGGCGGTCTGTCCATATGCCTCTGGATGACCACTCTGTATTTGAAGACTCAAAAGGCTAGTTACTTAGCATAGAGCTTAGCACGAACCTTCTGCTGCTGCAGGGTCACAAAGACGACTGGCTCGGTGCACCTGAGAATTGTTACGAACCTGAACTTGACAATGGGGTCAACTGTTTAGAAAAATGCTGACTCCTTGACTCTGTGTCTGCTTGTTCTTTGGGAAAGTTTTGGACTGAGATTGGTCCGTTCGACTTCCTAGTCACACTCGAGGAACATCTGAGAGGTAGGTATTCATGTCTGGAATGCATCGCTGCAAATTCTCTAGGTTTAGTTTAGTTATTTGGTGTAGATGGGGTGTCTGAGTTATAAAGTAAGACACTGGGCAGGTGTGCGGAGCTTCTCAGCTTGCCTATAGGCTGCTGGAATGGGATGAATATCCGCGGCGAAAATTTCCTTTTGAGTATTAGTAAAAGCTAAAGAATACTATCGCTGTACGGCTATCTCAGAGACGATTTAGTGAGTTAATCTGGATCAACTATACGTCACTACAATCGCCACAGTCGCGGCTCGCGATGTATCCCTCGCTAACACAACTTGGAATACAAGTGTGTGAATAGAAGTGGACACAAATGTTGCGTTCGAGAGCCCTTCAGAGCTATTTATAAATTTCCGAAACCGACTGTCTTGGTTTACTTGGTGAAAACAGTAGGGATGACCATATTGCAATGGTCAGATTGACTGTTTCCGCTAAATCTTCGCACTACCTATCTTCGCCAACTCTCTCTTGCATCGCAAAGCAAGAGTCTGGAAGATTTTGCCGATCGTCTCTTCATGTTCCTCGAGAGACAGATGTTCTGCCGTAGGTTGGAGTTGCTAATCTTCAGTATGGAGCGTGATGACAGAGAAGAAAATAGAAGACGCAATCCCGACATCGGCAAAGCTTCTAGAATCGGGTGTACTTCAGAAGCCAAGGGAAGTGCGTGGTGGCGTTTGGCGGACTGCCGTAGTCTCTTTACGGGCGAGCTTGGCTCCGAGACAACGGGATCAAGTTAGACATTCTAGATTTTGATGCTCATCATCAAAGATGGCCATCAGGATTTCAGCGTGGGAGCGTGAAGTTTAAGCGGTTAAATGTCGCATCACTTTGGGAGTGCCAGCGAGCCATGAGTCTCGTCACGAACAAAAAAACAAAAACCGAATCGGTCTTCAATGCCGTGCCTGTCCCTGACGGAGATATTGGAGTAAAACGCGCTCAACAGCTGCAGGAGACGGGAGCAACGGAGCGCACGTGGATCTGCTACTAGGAATCTCGCATTCGCAACACTGCCAGCCAGCCGGCTTCATCTCCGCGGTGACTAGCGCGAACCCAATCAGCCTCACAAAACGATCGCCTCCACGCCACAATACCTAGCAACTACCGGTCGATCGAGGCTTGGTAACATACTTTCCGGAGTTTACGCAAGAAAAAAATCCTGTTGCTGGACCGCAACAGATGTCATGTGGGGGAAAGGGTCCAGTTAAGGACCCAAGGGTCCCCAATCGTATGATGTATCTATCTCATTTCACTTTTTACGTACGTGCGCGATTCGTTTTTGCTACAGCCCCAGGTTTTTACTGGGATGTGGTTCGTTGGTCTCCTCTTGATGCAGTCTCTTACTGCTCAAGGTTTTCCTTTGCATATGCGGGGAGAGGACCTTCGGAATTCGAACCTGTTCATCAACAATGGCGAGCTTCCGCGGGATAGGTCCATCTTCACGATTATTTCGTTGGTATGCATGATGGTGTTGTCGTTGTTGCTAGGTAAGTGCACCTCCTATACTGTATGAACATCTGAATAAGACGACATACCTTTTGCATGTGCTCCACATCAAGGAATCCACACCAAGCTTGCAATCATGTTCTAACACAGACTACAGGGCTGCGATGGGCAAAACTCAGACGGAGCATCGTGGTTAAGCGCAGCCTTATGTCAACGCTTGTTCTTATGTTATACGTTCTGGTGTTGATGTTCATCACCTGTTCAGCTGTTCTGGTAGCAGGGCAAGGATTATACACGTATGGGATGTGTCTTGCAGGCACATGGGTTTGTTTGATCTTCTATACGTTCATCAAAGCTATCATGTGAGTATGTACTGTCGATGATACGGATCACTGTTAACGATGGTAGCTATGTCTTTCTGGTCGAACGCATCCACGTCGTCCGCGCACCCTTCTTCAACAGGCGGAAAGACAAGCTATACCTTGGTTGCATGGCCATGATAATCATTACGTACAGCTCAGTCGCCATCAATGCATACTGCAACCACGTCGTCGAGTTACGTGCGTCAGACGGTCGGTGCCACTTTGGCATTCGCGGTGCCGTGTCAATACCGTTCACGGTCGTAAACTTCTTCACAGATGCGGTTTTGACAGCCGTCTTCTTTTACCTGCTTTGTCCTATCGTACAGATACCCGGTGTATCTGCTCTCTCCAAAATCTTCAAGATAAAACCGAACAAAGAAGGAAATACAGTCGATAGTGGGAATGATACCCCGGCTCGAAAGAACATTAGGACGCTATTATGGAAGAGCATCATCGGCTCACTGTTGATCGAAATTCCAATGGCGGCGAACATGATCCAGTTCGTCTTGACAGATGGCGAGGAACTGGGTATGATCTGTCTTACAATCTGCCTAGTCGATGGTAGGCTTTCTTTCCCGCACATCTGTTACATTGAAACTAACATTCTGCAGTATGTTGGGATGCGCTGATAATCCATTGGCTGACCTTCAGTGCGTCCGGCTCGGCCGCCGAGAAGGACTTGTCGCGATCGACGGTGGTTTCCAGTGAGGAGTCATCGCACGACCAGATACCACCTAGAAGCCGTTCTCGATTGAGCCTTGGAGGCGAAGCCAAATCCGTCAAGCAAGAAACGACCGAGAAGTCCAATGATTTACAACTCGATGCAATAGACTTCCGGTGCGAGAGCCCCCGAGATTCAATAACTGATCTGATACGGCCCGCGGCTGTGAAGTGAGAAAAGTAGACATTGTTGTGGTTTTCATTTCTCTGAGCAATCAGCAAAAGATCAACTTTGATGAAGGCGCAGTTTTAGTCTATATTCACACCAAAAGAAACATTTATGCTACCCCAAATCGTTTCCCGGACGGAACTCAGCTCTTCAGCTTCGTCATCCTAAACAAGACCGGATACGAGCGCTCTGAGTATCGTACTGGTATCGTATGGAGCATATCATGTCTCATCACAGACACAAGCGAACAGTCCGCTTATGTCTGTAATGAGTTGAACAGGCGCACAATTAAATCGGATCTAAGCCTGGGAAGGTAGCTGCAAGGTCGAAGGACCAACTACTAGCGCTGATTGATGCAAGAGTGGGCATGCAGCTTGGTTCGCAGCTTTAATATTGTCAATCATCGCCTACGCAAACTCAAAGGGTCAGTGCTCATTCCAAAAGCAGTTTCGAAACTAGCAAGGCCCACTAGGGGAGGTGGATGTATATGCACAGTGGCCAAGCATGAGCGCTTCAGTGAGCAAGATTGCTGGGCTATTGCCAGAAATAAAAGGTTGGGTGCGGCGAACTCTCTGATTACCTATACCTTCCCGTAGAGGTTGTGTAGAATAGCAGATATCAATAATAAACAACCCCGCAGCAGAGGTACATTAGTGGCCTCTCATGTTTATCCTCTCAAAGGACAATTCACTAGCAATCAAATAACTGCGACAGCGGATTAGTGCAACAAACAGTGGTGAACAAATCTATATCAATAACCAGTCTTTCCAGGGACTATCTCGTAGCATGGTCCGCCCTTCCCGAACATCTTCTGCAGATCCGCAACGATCACATCCGGCCTCTCGTGCGCAGCGAAATGGCCACCTTTGTCGTTGATACTTTCATGGACAAGAGGGCCTGTTCGCGTGAGTATAAGTTCCATGCGCATTATCATGAGAGTCATACCTAAGGTTTTCGCCCACAATCTCGGGACAACAGTGATCTCATTAGGAAAGTGCGCGACACCAAGCTTCACACAATCAACCCACTGACTCGTGCGCTCTCGATTGGGGATCAGATCTGTGGGGTTATGTTGAGCTTCATAGTAGATCCTAATATGCGCATTGGGGCCTGCAGTACTGAACCAGTAGACACTAACCCATGTTAAAACCTCGTCGTCGGTCCACTGATAGCTATCAGTCCAGTCAACCAGCTTCTCGTAGATCCATGCCAGTAGAGCAACAGGGCTATCTGCGAAGGCATATGAGAGTGTCTGCGGCTTGGTAGCTTGTAGCTGGCGATACGCTTGACCGTCGGTAAGAAACCACTCAGAGCGCTTCATGCCTTTGGATTCAGCATCTGTGTAGGGAGTCATTGCGTGCTGGAGAGCGAGTACAGGCTGTGATGTAAATGTCGGTGCGTGCGCGCGCACCATATTGATGTGACTGGCGAGAACATTATCTGGATAGAGAATGCCCATCGACCTGGTTATGTAGAAGCCCCAGTCGCCGCCTTGGGTGATATACTTCTCGTATCCGAGGTCTTGCATTAACCGGTGGCAAGTCTCAGCGTACTGCGACAGTGCAAAACCAGGCTTGAGGATCTTCTGACTGAACCCGAAGTTCGGCAGGGATGGTGCCACGATGTGAAATGCGGGCTTGCCTTCTTTCTCGCCATTTTCCAGGAGTGGAAGCAACTTTGTGACCTCGAGGAATGAGCCTGGCCACCCGTGGCTGAATAACAGTGGCACTGCATTTGGGTTAGAGCTTCTCTTGTGTACGAAGTGTATGTCGATTTGTCCAAAGCCATCAACCTGTACTTTCTTTCGGAAATTTGGCAATTCGTTGATCTTGGATTCGACTTTTCGCCAATCGAAGCCTGTTTCCCAATGCTTCGCTAGACGCTTGACGTCCGATAGCGGTGAACCATATGGCCACTGGTCAGGTGTATCCAGTTCATCAGGGAAGTCGGCATCTGACAACTTTCTTTTCAGCTTCTCGATTGCGGTGTCTGCAATCGAGATCGTGTAAGGCTCAGGTTGCGAAGCCATCGTGAATGAGGTTGTGAATGTTGGAGGTGTCAACCTTGTAGTTGTTCGCTCTTGATGTGATGCGACCCCTCAGTTGAGCCAAAAGCCAAACAGCGCCCTTTTAGCTATGCACATGTTGACATCATATGCCAAGTATGCGCTCTTACTACGTCTGCTTCTGCGAGTAGTTACTGCTATAACCTTAGTAATGTCGCAATTGTAGCATGTACGCCGCATGGAACCGTACTGGGATAGTTTCCCATTTGAAACCATATGCGTATCTCGAATGAGTAAGTGTCTCTTTGTGTCATATGCTCCGCGATCGCACAGTACGCTGCTGATCGTGCTGTCGCGCGAGCTGATAATTCGGTGGCTGGGTAAGATGACAGCTAGTCCTCTTCGAACGGTCGGCTCGGCGCGTGTCGCGTATGCCATTACACCATCATCCTCGACGTGTCGTGCACGAAGTCAACAACCCTGTCCTTGATGAGACGGCGATTCAAAAATCCTCATGACATCTGCACGGTACTTCTATCGAGTACGCATCTTTCCGACAGCGCCCCAGGTATTTACGTAGGTAGGCTCCGACAATACCAAGAAAAGCGATCACGAAGTCTATCAAGAAACACCGCCATTTACGACTGATCAGCTTCTAGTAGAAAGGAAAGAAGCATTTAGAAAAGGTTAGGCCTACCGAGGTCGTATCGCCTACGACGGGTGATGATCGTGGAAGAGCGCTTTTCAAGAGTTTGACGGCATTTCGGAATGCATCGCTCGGAACTGGTCGGAATACCTACCTATCACAAGCGCGGGGTTTCCGCAGCCTACCATGACGTTTATCACCATAGTGCAGCACGATAGGGTTGTCATTGGCTCTTGATAAGGGACCCAGATCTACTGGCTTCTATCGCTATGATGATTGAGCGCTCTAAGTCATCTGCGTCGAGGTTCGTTCTGAACATCCTCCACAGTATTCATAGGCTCAGGTGAGCTTGTCGCACTCGCATCATTCCAGGAATGTTAAGCCTATGATCGAAGGGTCTGGCAATCTGCAAATGTATTCAGTGAAACCAATGGGCGAGTCGACATCCAGGGCGCGAGTCACGACAAGCGTATGGCTATCGTACGGCAAATTCTCCTACGGCAAATTCTCCTACGGCAAAGTTCCGACTTTCCATCCCGAACCGAAAGATTGACGGGCCTATACCGGCCCTATCGGATTGCCAAACTTGCAAGTATATTAGGCATCACCTGTCGAAAGCATTGTTCGTTCGTTGTTCTTACTCTCCTCTCCCAGAATGAACTCAATGGCGTCGGCCGACCACGCAAAGAGCGTATATGCTACTACCAGTGAAGCACTCCAAGCGGCCAAGCAACGATACGCAGAGCGGAACGCTAAAAGCTCGCATCTACACGAGGAATCGAACAAAGCCCTGCCAGGCGGTAATACGAGAAGTGTACTTCACACTGCGCCTTTTCCAGTATTCCTGAAGAGCGGCAAAGGGTATCAAGTTACGTCCGAGGATGGGCAAACCTATACAGATCTCGTTGGCGAATTTACTGCCGCTTTATATGGCCACTCGCAACCCCTCATACAATCAGCGCTGGTCGATACTATCAACAACGTTGGTCTCAACTTGGGTGGAACGACTACCCTGGAGATGAGGCACGCCGCACTGATATGTTCGCGATACAAGCTTGATCTTATCCGATTTACAAACTCAGGCACAGAGGCAAATCTTCATGCCATTCAAGGAGCGAGGAAGTTCACCGGCAAGAGGAAGGTTGTAGTTTTCACAGGGGGCTACCATGGCGGTTGCTACACGTTTCCGGAGGATCACCCTGCCGAGAACTGTGTAGACCTAGAGGAATGGATCATTGCAGAGTTCAACGATGTTGAAGACACGAAGAGGAAGATCGAGGAGTCTGGAGACGTGGCTGCAGTGCTCATTGAAGGCATGCAGGGTAGAGGTCCGTGTCTGGTGGGTACTCATGACTTCCTGCATCAAGTTCAGGAATCAGCAAAGAAAGCCGGCGCAATCTTCATTCTAGACGAAGTACAAACAAGCCGTTTGGCGCCGGGTGGACTACAAGAAGTCGAGGGGTTAGAGCCAGACATTACGACTTTGGGCAAGTTCCTCGGTGGAGGAATTACATTTGGCGCATTCGGTGGGCGAGCAGACATTATGCGCGTATATGACCCACGGGAGAAGGGATCTTTAGGACATTCCGGCACTTTCAACAACAATACGCTTGGAATGACAGCAGGATACACTGGCCTTGCGAATGTGTACACGCCCGAAGTCTGTCGCAACTTCAATGCGATGGGTGACAAACTTCGCCTCCGTCTTCAAGAGCTTTCGCATGGAACCAAAATGACCGTTACGGGTTTGGGTACGATCATGGGTATACATTTCTTGCATGATGGCAAGAAGGAACTAAGAAGCTTCCGAGATCGGCATGAGGACCTTGATCTGAGCATGCTGTTCTGGCTCGAGATGATGGAAGCAGGATTCTGGATTACTCAACGAGGTAGCGTAGCCATCATCCTAGGTACACCCTGGGAGGAGTTGCAAAGGTTCTCAGACTGCGTACGGGGATTTCTGGAGAGATACAGGGGATTGTTGAGTATTTGATCTTCACTTCTAGAGAATGACGATTTCTGCAAGCAACCCCAAAAGATTCTGGAGCTTAGGCCAGCCATTGCAATGGTTCGCTATGATTTCCCGAACTTCGTTGTTGCTGGGTGTCAGGCCTGGCTGATGATATATACTATCCTGCACCACGATCAGTAGTTCACTGATCATACGTACCTTTTTGGTTGCATAGCGTAGTGGTGCAGGGCTGCGTTCTGACACTGGGGACCTTGATGCGCTTGGCTTCCGCAACTTTCGTGCGCACTTGCCCCTTGTGAAGGTCACCCAAGATAGTCACCACATCACCGTTGTTGTTTCGGAACTTTTTGAGATACGGAACTTTGTAGTCCAAGAGGCACATAAAGCCAAGCCATGACGAGATCAGGCACATCTTTCGGTAAGATGTCGTGTTCCATACAACTGCAGCTTTCCCCGAGACTCTGCGCACCAGACTACTCGAGGTATCCATGTAGAAGGTCTCATAGTATTGTCGCTCAACGGGATGTAGTCGCACTCGATTGTGAGATGTTGTACCTCGGGCAACGGGTCACCGATGCGCTTGCCGTCAATAGTGGATGCAAAGCTCCTACGGATCATGATACGCTTGAAGACCCTGACCATACGCTTACCCCTATCAGCCAGTGAAAGGTTATCGTTTTTGAAGATCCACTTGTCGAGAGCCTCCTTGCAGAACATCAGGGAAGCTTTCGGGTCGTCGTCTGAATACTTCCATGGGTCAGCTTGATCGAGAACATAGTCTAAGGGACTTTGTTCAGGTTCTTCAGATTCCTCAGAGGAGGGGAAGCCAAGCGCATCAAGGTCCCCAGTGTCAGAACGCAGCCCTGCACCACTACGCTATGCAACCAAAAAGGTACGTATGATCAGTGAACTACTGATCGTGGTGCAGGATAGTATATATCATCAGCCAGGCCTGACACCAAGACTCTCCAGCCAATTAGCTTCTTCAAGCATTGCATCTAAAAGCGATTACTTCTTCTTATATTCGAATTTAGAGATTTTCATTTGTCGAATACATACTGTATCTCCCCTGTTGAGTCTCGCCACCTTAGGCTATCAGACTGCGGGTTGTCGGTTTCGGGGGCGGCTGTTTGTCAATTTCAGGCAGCTAATTGCATACGAACATTACTACTACTTCTTCCAGTCCTGCTTGATAAGGTCAGCTGCCTTCTCCGCCACCGCATACACTGTTGCCTGGATGTTTCCCAACGTCTCCATTGGAAAGATCGACGCGTCTACAATCCTCAGGTTCTTTGTGCCGTGTACCTTCAGTCTGCTATCGACGACACCGTTGAGTTCCTTGGGCATCATGGCACATGTACCAGTGGGGTGAAAGGTGCTCAGCAATCGCTCTTTGACGATATCTTTCGCCGCATCTAGATCCGTGGCTCGCTTGCCGTCCGGCAATCGCCCACTAGGTTTGAGCAACGAAGCGAAGGGTTCAGTCTTGACAATGGTTTCGATGTATTGCGTATACCGGGCAAGTATCTCGAGATCCAGGGGATGAGAAAGATATTTTGGGTCTAGAATCGGCTTCTCTTTCGGATCCGCAGATCGAATATGGCAGAAGCCACGAGAGAAGGGATGGTTGTTGACCGCCATTATGGTGATGAAGTTTTTGGGATTCGATGGTGCAAGTAGCTCTTTCATCTGCGTGGCTCCCGCAGAGATGTTCAACTGCAGTGGTAGCATCATCGCATATCCAGCTGCCTCTTTCGGGCCTAATATCTGCTTCTCGAGCTGCTCATATTGTCTCTTTTGCCAAAGAGGCAAATCTTTGTCTTCGCCACACTGCCTCGCCATTTGGGCAATTTCATCGTGACTGACGCGGCCATCAGAGTCGATGAGCGGAAGCATGGTCACACTGATCGGAATACCAACAAGTGGCCCGGTCTTGGTGGACATGTACTGTTGGAGCACGGCCTGTACGATGTTTGGATCGCGCATTATATCTGCCGAGAACTGGTCATCCGCAATCTCGAAGCAAGGCGCCGAGATGGCATGGTCCTGGAGGTTCTCGCCGACACCAGGACTGTCAAGAACCACCGAAATTCCATGCTTCTCGAGAAGCTCCTTTTGGCCGATACCGGAAAGCTCAAGAACTTGTGGCGATTGAATGGTGCCTGCGGAGAGGATGACTTCCTTCTTCGCCGTGATCTCGTGCACCCCACTCCTTGTTCGAACTTTTACCCCAATCGCTTGTACGGAGCCGTCCCAAACATTGGTAAGTATTTTTTCGACGAATGTTTCTGTCAATACTTCCAGGTTAGGTCTTTCCGCAACTTGTTGGGTATAGTAGGCCGACGCAGCGTAGCCGCGGGTCTTCGTCTCTGCATCAATGGACAGCCCACAAGCAAATGTGCCCAGCTTCTCGCCTTCGATAGGATCATCTGAATTGCACCAGCCAAGATTATCCAGAGTCTTGACCCATGACGCCTGGAAAGGCCCATAAACGTCCGGAATTGTTACTGGAATAGGGCCGTCTTTACCGTGCAACTCCTCATTGATATAATCTATGCTCAAGAGTTCTTTTGTTTCTGCACTCGGTGCTGTGAAGCGACTGAACTTGCGAAGGTATGGCGCGACTCCGGTGGCACCCCAGCCCTCATTGCCGAGTGCCTCCCAAGATTCGAAATCGGCCTTTGACGGATATACAGTTGCACCAAAGTTGATTGCTGAAGATCCACCGAGAACTTTTCCTCGTGGATGTGGGATTTGCCGACCATTGACGTGCGTCTCCAAAGGTGATTGTCAGTCTCGGTCAATCCTTCACCAGACGACGTGGCATCGTAACGCGTAACTCACCTGGGGCTCGGTCATAAAGTCCCAATCATAATCGGGGTCTCCATACAGCGTTGATAACATACCAACCGTGTCGATTTTGGGGTCTCCTCTACGATTGGCTCCTGCTTCGATCAAGAGTACCTTCTTCTCGGCATCTTCACTCAGACGGTTTGCAACGACCAAACCACCAATCCCGCCACCAATGACGATGAAGTCAGGCTCATGCGTAGAGAGCGCATCGATAGATGTCACACAACCGGTATGCTGGACCATGGTACTGGGAATCAGACTGGTGACCTAAGAATGTCGAACGAACGTAGGCGCACCGCAACAGCTATGGTATATAGCAGGAGCAGGAGCAATTTTCTATGAGAACGGCCAACCCATTCGACAGGGAACATTGAATCTGGACTCAACGGTCAACGGGTGGCTGCCTTCTCGGAAGGCAGCAAGCGAGTCTAAGGCTGCTTAAGCGGATCCACAGCGGCACATAGCATGCCATTGTCTTGTCATGTTCCTGGACAGGCTCCACCACCTTCCTCTTCGACGCTCGAGGACCGCAACCAAACATGCGGCTGTTCTTCCGCGCTGCAAACGACGGGCGCGTATACCGGGAAGTATTGCTTGACCAACGGTCCTTAGATTAGAGCTGCGACCATAATGTATGCAGTCAGCCGCGGCTCACAAGTTTATTTACCCCGGTGTTTATATATCTATCAACAAGGTATTGCCATGCATCTGAGTGTCGAAGCCATTTCTGAGGTTGCGGCACTTATCCTGCCACCCCAACCAAGGTAAAAACTAAATAGGTATAGTGATAATAAGCTCTACCTTGCAGCTTACATTAGCTCCTAACAAGAAAACTTGAAAAGATTAATAGCATTGTAGACTTCTAGATTCTATGAATACAAGTGTCTATATAGCTCTTAACGTTTTGTTGTAGTAGGAAGAAGTACTCTGTTCTCAAGGGATGTTTAGTGTTCCGCTAGATGCTCGAAGTTGACTGTGTAAAGAATCATACCAAGTAGTAACATCAGATCACTCCTGCCACGTGGTCCACCCACGTTCTTCTGCTTCCTGCCACGGCCCGTTCGTTATACACTCTGTCGGACCATGTGCATTGTAGAACATCCATTCGCCAACATGCCCTGTCGTATCGCTCTTCTTAATTGCTTGCAGAGTGACGCGGATCGGTGTAAATTCGTCTTCCTTGACCTCATCTGCCATCAAGCTGTTCTCTGCGTGCGGAATGGCATTGAATTTTGTCCGGCGCACCAGCTGCTCATCTGTACGCCAGTCTGCTCCTTGGTAGCTATAGAGAAGCCCCCGGTGATAATCGTAAGATCGGTCCTCGACGTAACTAGACACGAAGCCAGGTAGACGTCCACGATCGGTACTGCTACTGCGACCAGATCTGATGGAAGCCTTGAGCGCCATGATTTGGCGATGGTAAATCCCTCGACCTTTCTTTTCTTCTTCGTAGTGGGCAATGCATGCCTCGTCGCATTTTTCAGCTGTTGCACCTGGCATAGGCAGGAAATATATCTCCAGCCGGAAGGGACATGGATAGGAAACAAATGGGGTGTCTTGAATAATGGCTCTTAGAAATTCAGTTGGGTAAACATTCCCTGCGTTGACGGCTTCGTGCGTGAAATAGAACGAAAAGCTGTAAAGCGGCGGAAGGGGACACGTTTCGGTGCCGTCAAACACCATAAGCGCCTCTTTGCCAGCATGGTCGGCGAATGGGAGGATGTGCGTTTTGCTGCGTCGGATGTAATTCATTTGTCCTCTTCCTGACCTCTGGGGACGATACCTAGGTAGTACCTAGGCAGCGTCCTCATCAAGTTCGAGCGTCCTTGCCCACCAGGTCGAGGCTAGCCGAATTGAGACCTGCTTGGCATCAAGTGTCACGAACCATGTCTACACCAAGGGGGTGTAAGTAGCGAGTTCAAAGAAAGTGGTTATGATATAAGAAGGGCTGACGCCAGGATCTTGTCGTCAGCTTGGGTAGTTTAACACAAAGCCAACGTTTGGATACGTCCTAGCCTGTCTGCATCTTCTCGCCGTTCTCTTGTGGCTCGCTTGAAGAGATCGAAAGCCCCTCCATAGCGAGCTTAGCCTCATACTCGTCAACTATCAGCTTGATGGTACGGTACTGAGTGCTGTTGGCGCCGAACGTTGCAAGCGCATTGCGGAGTGAAGACTGGAGCTGAGAAAATTTAGTCGTGTCCAGTGCGTTATAGAGAGAGTTGGAGGAGACATACGCTGAGAAGCAAGTCGTCTGCCTGAGCTGACATGGTGCCTGTTGGATATACTGATGCTGCGTTTGGGATTGGGGATGTGCGTTGTGTGAAATTACAGACTATTTCTTTTCATAATGCTGACAAAGGTGTTGGTGAGCGTCTGAGCGAGTGTTGTTGCAGATTGTAGTGATGAGTCATGTAGCATCGCAGCCCTCAAGCAAAAAGAAAGCCATGGCCCACAAAGAGCCAAAAAAGATGGGCAATTGAAGCGTTGACAAGAGTGGGATTCGAACCCACGCCCGTGAAGACTGCGGTAGATGCTTAGGAGAACCTAAACGCAGCGCCTTAGACCACTCGGCCATCTTGCCGTTGATTGCTTCATGTATAGCAAAGCGTTTTACGTCTTCATATAATCATTGACGTCAGCAGAAGGCTGAATGTACAAAGGTTGGGAGGTTGCAAAGAATCGCATCCCATGTGGAGACGCCCCACCACGAACTACACAGGAAGCGAGCGAGCCCACACGCGAACACGCCTTGACGATAGATTAATGGCCTCAGATACATGGAGATGTCGTTGTAGTATCTACTGGTGCTGTCGAGAGTGACTCGTTTTGCCTTCGAAGTTCTTGTATGGGACATCACCACGAACACTTAACCAGGCCGGCGTGCGCACTACACCAAGATAGCAATCGAAGAAAGCGTATCGCAAGTCATGTCATTGTGCAACAATACACATCACATCGACATGCACAACACCATCCCGTGTCAGTGAATTGTAACAAACAGTCACATCTTCGCGGCTGTAGTCGGGCAGGGCTGAGTCATAGAACGTCACAAGAGTCACTGTCACAAAGAGTCAAGGACATCACAAGAATCACTCCCAAAGAGTCATTTGTGAACATCATGTATATGTAAGGAGACTATCCCGGAGGCTTCAGCACGAAAGCGCTCCACAACTATGAATGCATCAATCAGAAACGAACAACACCACATTACCACCTACACCAGGCGGAGTCAATCGAAAACCACTAGGGGAGACTGCACACCGGCGACAACAATATAAGATCAAAGCATGAGACACCACCCAGCCGGAGCCGGAAGGCGACAGAAGCGAAAGGAAATACCGCGGGAAACAACACGGAAAGGAAAACTTTTGCCGAAAGGCAAGGCTGGTTTCTTCACCAGCTCCTTACGACCACCGGGAACCATATGAGAGAGACGACATTCACTGTCCGCTGTATCCATGAGCCATAGCAATGCTCTTCCACTTTTCGACTTCAGCTTCGAGCTCAGAGTTGCGCTGCTCGAGGGTGCTGACATGGTCAAACTTCCGCTGACGCGACTCACGGGCAGCAAGGGTGTTGCGTGCCCGCTTCAAGGCAATCTTGTCACTGGGGTCGACGGTGATGCTGGGCAGAGGACCCTTGCGCCGACGAGACTTGCTGATGCCGTTTGTTGCAGGTGAGTTGGTGACAGACGACTTTCGTCGAGTATAGTTGTCCAAAACGAGAGGAGAACCGGTGCTGGAAGAACCGGATCGCTCCATAGACTGGCTGCTCATAGTGCGGTCCATAGGCATGGAAATGGCAGGTGCATAGACAGTGTCAGGAATCTTGGTCTCCTGCTCCGGGAACAGGGAGAACCAGTCGCTCGTGTCAGAAATAACCGGCTCGCCGTTGAACATTGGCGAGCACTCGAAGCTGTCGTTGATGAAAGGGGAGTCACCAATATCAGGGGAAGTAAGGTTGGTAAACGCCGTGGAAGGGGGTGCAGACCCAAAGGCATCGTTAAAAATGTCCTTGGGGGACACGGTGCGCGTAGACCCGGCGGCAACGGAAGGGTCGTTGATCGCCGTGAATGCGGACACCGAGTCCATAGAAAAGCCTCCGTTGTTGAAGTTGGACATCAGGCTTGCGCCCGAGTCGAAGGAGTTGTTGCTGTTCAAGTCTGCGGGGAAGGTGAGCTCGCGATCGAGAGCGGAAAAAGCGTGCGTCGTACCTGCCATGTTTGTGACGTTGTGCAGTTGGGGAGTGTTGTTGCTAGAGCTGGGGAACAGTGGAACCGGAGGACGTTGGCGTAACCGTGGCTGTTGGAATTCTGTAGTAGATGACGGGGCAGAATTTGCGTAAAAGTGCTGGCCGTTGTTAAACGTATGCCCAGGCTGAGGCGCGCTCGGTGCTCGCAGAGGCCGTTGGGAGACCTGTGGTGTTTCGTAGAGCACAAAGTCCGACTGCGGACGGGCGAATGCGTGTTGACTCGTATTTGGTTGCCGAGAGGCTTGGGGAGCTGGTGAAGAGAGCCATGATGACTGTTGGGAAGCCGTGATGGTCGACGTGAAGTCGAACGGGAGGGGAGACGGCGAACTAAAGCTGCGCGAGGCTAGACTTGAGTTCAGAGGTTCCTGAAAGGAAGACTCTGAGGTTGTAGTTGAAGTGGGGAAAGTGGTTATGGTTGGGTAATCCAAGGTGCCGGCTATTAGCTGACTGAGAGGCGCGGGGGAAGTTAAAAGGCAGCCATTGTTCGTGACTGTCTTGTGTATTACTTTGTGGTGTGGTATGTTGAGATGAGTGGGAAGGAGAAATTCAGGCAGCGAGGGAAGTGGGGGATTAATAGTAACCGGAAGCGAGCACGGCACCAGAAAGGCCCGAGTTCTGTGACTCACAAAACGTGCAGCAGTGTCGGTGGCTCCCAACCAATAGCTTCGCCCACCGGCGCCATCCTCCATCAGCCCTAGGCCCCGATCCGGTTAAAGAGGCATCACGCTCGCCAAACTGCACGCTCCATTTTCGTCCTTTGATGTGGCTGCGCGGCCTCTCCATGGGGTCTCAAGTCTGATTATGCCTGCTCCCGACCTCTAGGAGGCGTCGCATTCAGCATTTGCCCATACAAAGCAAAATCGTCAAACCTCGCGACCATGGTTAGCTGTGGCCTCCATCCAAATCGCAGCCACTAGACATCAGGCATCAGCTTTTGTGCGCATGTACCAGTAGGGCGCGCGCCATCAAACATGGGGCACCCTAGTCAGCTGCACATTGTTCCAACCGGTGGAGGTGATTACGAAGAAGCCATCCCAAGACGGGAGAGATGTAAGAAGAAGGCGGAGCAGCTGCGCCCTTTCCATCAATCGTAGATTGCCAGATGCGCGCGGTATGCGCCTTCGTTCTCCAGATTGATTGCCAATACCGCATTCTCCGGCGTCATTGCGCAAAGTCTCTGAGAAGCCAGGTGAGATCAAAGGTTTGGCATCAGGAGCGGTGAACAACTGTGTGAAACATTGCGGTTGTCCTGCCACACCCAGCGCACTGGGTCCCAGGGTAAATCTGACGGTCTTATCGATATTCGGATCCGTACTCAGCCTCCAACATGCTGCAGAGTACCCAGTATGGCATTGGTCAATGAGGGCGGCTCCGCGTGAATCCTGGCATATTCAGCCTCACTCCAGTGACTAGCGGTCGCACCTGCTTGGTTAAACTTGCGAGTTCTCGTTGTGTTTGGTTCGTCTACTGACAGCACACCTTGACGCGACATGCCCGTCACTGCGTGTATTTCCAAGGCTGCAGACACCTCATTCGGCCCTACACGGCCGCGGATAGCTGTGTTTCAGGTTGGAGTAGCACGCCAACGAACAGCTTACCTAACATTCACAGGAAATGAGGGTCTGCGATTTCATGTGTTGACGGTCGATAATCCAACACGTTGGTATCCCGTCATCAAGTGGGGCTAACCTGCGCAACCATTCTCTATGGGGATGTGCATGGCAGAGCTGGCGGATTAGGCGTACCCAGTCATCATCCCTGGCTCTACGCGGAACGACAACAACATCTGATCTGCTCGAGATCCCCACTTTCTGCGCTATCACCTCTCCAGCCTAAGCATTTCTGTGACACTGCACAATGGTACAACAGAATGTGAAACCACCTGGAAAACTCCATGCGGCTTGCGATGAGTGCCGTGAGTACCTCAAGCTAGGCTCCCATCTGCCCCGCGCGACGCTCAACTATACCCAGGCACACGAAAGTTGAAATGTTCGGGCCATACACCAAGATGCGTCCGTTGCCAGAAAGAGAAGATCGAGTGTGTTTACTCGCTACGGAAGCAGATGGGTCGCCCTAGGAAGAGGATGAGGGAGGACGAAGCGGACGAGCCTACGGAAATACCTGCAGTAGTGCGAGACGAACATGTCGACATTTGGAATGACTTCTCGGGAATGCCAGACTTTACAGATCTCGACAGCCTACTATCACCGCCGCTTCTGCAAGATGTGCAATCATCGGACGGTTCGGCAGGCAATGAGATTATTACACCGCAACATCACGACCTCAGCCTTCAAGATCAGTTCCAAGTGCCATCCGGGTGCAACGATACGTATGTGAGACTCAGCGGATCGATATCGATGAATGCTGAAACCGTTGCAGGTATACTTTGGATACAACCGTCGATCCACTGTTATGGAATCTGGCGCCTGCCATCCAACCTGATATCCAGCCTATTGGCCCTCACCATACTTTCTCCGATCAACCAACCACAGGGCAGTGTTCGTGTCTGACAACAACGTGGCTAACCCTGACCGAATTACAAGCTGTCGTCACCTTTCACTTCCCTCAAGTTGTTTTGCCCCTACGGAAAGCGATGACATCGCTCTCGGAGTTGATACACTGTAATCAATGTCCACGAGAGTCATACTCAGCGATCCAGAATGTGCAATCAATAGTATCCGTAATGAAAGCGGTAGTGGAACGCTTCAACAAAGTTCTGATCGAAGTCGACCGCGAGGCGCTACGCCTAGAAGAGACGGGTCAAAAGAAACCATATCGAATTGGCGACAACAACCCAGCTTTGCAGCACCTACATACTGGCACTCTTGACTGCCCAATGGGATTCAATATTGAGATCGAGGGGAAGGACTGGAAGAAATTAGTCAAGACTGCATTGAAGACTGAGGTCTATGGCGGAGGAAGCAATCCTCGACCATTACTGGATCTAGTAAAGGAGAGCGAGGCAAGACAAGAAAGCTGGCATACTAAGAACCACTCTTGGAGCGATGAGATGAAACATTTACATGCTGGAAGGCCTGAATGTGATAATTCTGGGGCCTGTGAGGCATTGGGAGCGCAGCACATACGGAGAGCAATCAACAACCTCAGGTGGGACTGAGAAATCAAAGATAATTTTGGCACTTCATACTGCGTAGACTGGCCTATCCCACGTCTCTTCTCATCATTAGCTCTCATATGGGAGTAACTCTAACTGAGTACACTTCTCATTGGTAGGTCCAGACCTCACTTTACTGCCAGTTCATTCATATCTTTACCTATAACACACTCACCTTTTCTAGTGAGTAACTAGCGCTTGTTCAGGACATATAAAACACCAACCGTTCCTAGAATTCATTTCTCTACTTCGATTCACTATTTCTACACTTGCCTCTTCCTCAGAATTTCCCAAACATCCAGCGCTAGTTCGTCTAATTATCGATCTCTCTAGCAAAGGGACTTACAAATATAATTAGCATAAACACGATCAAGCAACACAACAGGCTACGCGATGAACAAACTCTAACTTCACAGCCTCATCAAGATGACATTACTTTCCCGTTCCTCGTCCTACCTGGTGAGATGAGCAATACGGTCTATAAGTGCGCATTGGTTGATAAGAAATACTCTGTCTGGTTCGAGACAGTTAGAGACAAACAAAATGGCAGCGGTAAGTGATTCCGAGCTGCGAAGAAGTTCCTTCTCATAACTTGTATCCCAGCCGCAATACACCCTAGAGGCATACGCTGCATCATACATTATCATACCAGAGACTATAGCATGGTAAACACCTTCAGGATGTGATGTGACTGGGGTAAATCTCATGAAAACCTAGCTTTTTCGCAACAACTGTAATTGCTGGCTCTCATCCAGATACTATCATTCGTATTCATATAGCATATCCCAAAGTCCTAGCCCGCGATGATATACCTAGCTTAAGATAGCCTACT